CTTTCTCTTCTCCTCAAATGGATGAGTAACATCTTCAGTATTACAGAAATGTATCATTTATTGGTGTAATTTTAAATTTATGACAAGAAAGCTTACAGAAAGTTACAGAGGTCAGGTTTAGGCAAGTTACAGGGAGTGCTGTGGCAACTGGAGAGGTGCCAGTTCACCTCCTGACCGTGGGCGGCCCCCTCGCCTTGTCATTTCTCCAGTCTTGTTTGTGCATGTGTGTGTATTTTGGGCCTGTGTGTGTATATGACAACAGAGTGAAAAAATATTTCACTCTGTTTTATTGGGCCATAAAAAGGTCAAAATCAAAGGTGTGTTAGTGAGTCATGGATTGGGAGGAGTGGGGGGTTTGGGGGGTCCACAGACTCCTCCTATGCATAGGGCCCAGAATTTGGTGCTACGCCCCTGCATACACACACACATACAGACACAGGACTTAGATCTTTTTTTTACTATGGGTATTATTCAGCTTTTCAATGACATTCATACCTGTTAAACCTATTCCCACTTTTCCAACTACTCCATTACTTACATTTCAGCATTCACACCCCAAATTTCTTCAGAAATTGCATTCTTCTCTTGTTGCAGCCCCAAAGGTGCAGCAAAAATGCACGGCTTAACACAAAAAGCACAATAGTTAAGGTCCACCCCAAAACAGTGGTTTGCAGTTCACTTCAGGCAATAGTGCATTTCTCAGGAAACACTGTTACCTATCTGACAGGTTGAGTCTGAGGCTGAGACAATTTACCTGCCTGCAAGTGCACATCCCGAGTTCCAAGTAATTGGAGGGGACATCCACTGCCCTGCCAAACCTCTCTCTCTCTCTGCTCCCCCTTTTCTGTGTGAATCCTTCAGCCGTCTTCTTCGACCTAAGGGAGCACATCATGTTGGTTTTGTCAGGATTCAGTACAGGTCTCACAAAGACTCCTCTGAACAACAATAAAAGCAGATTGCAGTTTCTCAGTCACACAGGCTAAAGATGAGTCACAAATAATGATGTCACACACATGGAAATGAAATTTTGAATTGATAAAATTGCTAATAAAATAGGTCTCAGTAGAGAGCCTGGCAGGACACCATTTTGTATTTTCAAAAAGCAAGAAAATACACCACCAACTTGGACACTTTGCGTTCCCTTGCTTGAGTAGTTTTTAAACCACTGATCAGTTTTTGAGGACAGCCCTATGTTAACCAGCTGCGGTAAGAAAACAGAGAGGTCAACTGCGTCAAAAACTTAGAAAACTCTACGAAAAGGTGCAGCACAGCAATTCTAAATTAAAATGTCACCAGTCATATCATGTGAGATCAAATACAATCCTTTACCAGATTTGGAGCCTAACCCAGCTGACGTTGGGTGAGAGGCAGGGTTCACCCTGGACAGGTCACCAGATCATCACAGGGCTGACACATAGAGACAGATAACCATTCACACTCACATTCACACCTACGGACAATTTAGAGTCACCTATTAACCTGTATGTCTTTGGACTGTGGAAGGAAGCCGGAGACAACCCACACTGACACAGTGAGAACATGAAGACTCCACATAGAAGGGCTCCCCCACCCCAGAGTTCGAACCAGGAACCCTCTTGCTGCACTGTTGAGGCCTAGTTCCCCAAAGCATGACTGGATCTCATTGCCTTTTGTACGGTACAATGGCCAACAAGGACAAACGCAGCACAGCAACCCAAAATGTTTCCATTAGGAGAAACATGCTGCAGCTTCAGAAATTACGCTACTTCAAAAAGGCCTGGAGAACTTCTGGACCTGCAGCATGTTTTTGTTGCATTTGTTTTGAGTGTTTTTTCTTTGCATCGCTTCATTATTTGCTGTGTGTTTGCTGTGAAGTTATTTATTTTTCATCTGCAGCATGTTTCTGTTGTTGTGTTGGATTTTTGTATGTGTTTTTGAATTGGCATCGCTTCAGAAGCTGCAGTGTGTTTCTCCTAATGGAAATGTTTTGGGCCGATGTGACACATTTGCCCTTGTCTGACACTGTAGCCATAGGACCAAAGGCAAAGAGTACCAAGTGCTCCGTAGGTATAAAAAAATGCCATAGGTGATTGCCAAATTTCATAGGTATATAGTAGATGGTTGAGTTACACAATCAGTTCATGGTGTGGATAGATTCTTGTGTATGAAATGAATCTAAATCCCATCACATTAACTGAAACAAATCAGACCTGCCAGGTCTGAAAACACCCACGCTGTGCTCAGCACCAGCTGACACATGCAGGCCTGGCACAACACTCTGACTCCATATACAGTCCCATGTTACATGCACTACACAGGCTTTATATTAATGCCCCATATGTTCTGTTCTCTGCTACAGATAGTTCAAACTCCTTTTAGCTTTCTGTCAGTCTATTGTTTTCCTGCTTATTGATATAAGTATGTTTGAGAAAATGACACAATGTGCCTGATTTTGGATAGCGAAAGCTGTATCCACTTTTTTGCTCAAGTGCCTCAATTCGTTTGAGCATTCACTAACCTATAAGCATATGGTGCAAACATTCATGTCTTCAGGAATCAATGCACACATGTTTGAAATGAATTTACATGCATGCATTCAAACGTATGTTAGGTCAGCTTTAACAACAGCTGGTCAGAATGTGTTTTGCAAATCCAGTGAGATTTTACCAGTTTAAACTTATATGCCCGTTGAGATTCAAATTTATTTTGCAAGGGAGTCCTGGCCAAAACAACAGCATGAAAAGTCTCACATGACAGAACAAACACAACAGCAAAAAGTTAAAACAAAAAACAAAAAACAAACGTTTAGTAACTTGATATGTGCATTCACTTGTCAAACTAGCTCTATGACACTTGT